GCCACGTTTGCCTCCATGCTATCAAATCAGATTAACCAGCCAGGAAAATACACTATTTTTAAAACACTGGTGAAAAGAGGTGGGGGGGGGATTTACTTTAGAGGGAGAAAACGAGTGTTTAAATATCACCATTTCTCAACAGGACACATCATTTCAATGCAAGGTTTTATGAGACTGAACACAAATGCCCAGCAATATCGGAATGTATCCATCTTACTCCAGCTTTTGTATTAACAGAAGCCTTTCTATGTAAGCAAGATTTATCAATACATCAAACTACACAATTAACCAGATACAGAAGTCTTACAGGTATCTGAGGATTGTTCAGGTTGGAATGAATAGATCCAGTTTCCTAAGTTTTGCGATGTGCAACAAGGCTCCTTTCATTTTTCTTTGAGAAGCGGGGAAGAAATTATTAGCGTGTGTGAGCGGAAGACTTTATTTTAAACCTTTTAAGCCTTTGTTACCAACGAAACACCCAATTTACCTAGAAAAAACCCCAAACAAAAATCCCCCAACAAACAAAGGTGAGGGATGCAAAGAGTTTGTTTTACTTTTCATGATCTTGTCACTCTAGACCTAAGATGGGTCTCTAAAACGAGAAGAAATAGTAGCACATCAAAACTTCAAATTCAATGCTAATTAAATTTTAAAAGGTTTCCCTGGAACTTTTGTTGCAGTTTTCCAGTTCATGTGTTATCAGTCCTCTACATCGAATAAAAATACTCATATAAGTATTTCTGCATATATTTTCAATTTGCAGTCTATCCTACCTACATTAAAAAAAAGTCGTCTTACATTCAGAACTGAAGCATTTTCTCCTACCTTTATCTCAGTTCGTAACTCCAGGCACATTTTTCTGAGGAGCAGACAACCTTACAAGGTCTTTAAATAATTAATTACAGAAATTCAACATCAAGTATCTTACTTGAGATACTTGCTTCAAACAATTAAAAGATAATATCTGACAGAATAATATGCATCATGTAAGTTTATGCAGCTGAGACTAAGGAGGTCTCAAAAATGCAGGAGGTCCAAGATACGATAGATACTTTATAGCATTCTACTTTTCTTCTCCAACAAATCACAAAACATTGGGGTAGAAAAGGGCAGATCCGTAAGCAATCAGGAGGACAAAATAATAACAGATTTAAAGTTTTTCTCTTCAGATGCCCACACAGGTGCAGGGTGTTTATGTTATGCCCTAGAGATTATAAACAGCCAATTACAGCAGTCTAAAAACAGTACTCAAAATGGAAAGTCAGAAGAAAAACGCACAAACACAATGCACATGAAATTTAACTTTTATTTTTCTGTTGATAAAACCCAAAGATCCCTCACAGCAGCAATAGATGCAGAAGTTATCTGCAGAAATGATACCTCTTCTTAATCTGTTTGCATACCCAAGTATGCCAAGTGTGTAGGGACTGCATATTAACACAGTACAGGCACTGCTCAGTAGTAACAGAGATCAAGTTTCTTGGCATATTTTAATCCACCCTCTCCTTAATATTATAGGGGTTTCATAGTATTAGAGATGACGGTTAATGAGTTGTCTGTTTATTGATTTTTTTGTTGTTGCAATTTACAAACTTATTAAATTCTACACGTACAATTTATATGCCCAGATACACCTCCCCACATTCGGTAGTAATTGACAAGCTGTATCCAAATGCTACAATTCAGAATGAAAATGCTACTGCATTTAGCAGCTCTAGCTGCACTAGAGTAAGTATTTCCGTAGAGTAACAAAACACACCTCTTTGTTCAGTAACACAAGGGATACAGGTTTTAAAATGCACATTTCTATCTTGTATCCATACCTTTCTTTAATATATATATTTTTATATATAGCTCACGAATCTCTTTGCAATTTACAAACTTATTAAATTCTACACGTACAATTTATATGCCCAGATACACCTCCCCACATTCGGTAGTAATTGACAAGCTGTATCCAAATGCTACAATTCAGAATGAAAATGCTACTGCATTTAGCAGCTCTAGCTGCACTAGAGTAAGTATTTCCGTAGAGTAACAAAACACACCTCTTTGTTCAGTAACACAAGGGATACAGGTTTTAAAATGCACATTTCTATCTTGTATCCATACCTTTCTTTAATATATATATTTTTATATATAGCTCTAAAACAAATCTCTACTATTTTACAATTAAATTAAAACACATCCACAATTGGTCTAACTAGATTTTGGTCTCAATACTTTAAACATTAGCTGTTCCATAAAAATATACAATTCAACAACACAGTTGTATCAGTAACATGAGGCCTTTTGAGAGAGGCCTATGAGAGATACCAACCACGCAATTCAGTGCTCAATGTCATCTAACTGATAAATACTTATACTGCATTTTCAAACTATCGGTATCTTTAAAATCCAAATTTCTCTTTGCAGGCTTACCATGCTTACAAACATGCAGAAAGCAATCACATTTCTCACTTGCCTGTAGCAATCACATTTTTTTCTTTTCCAATAGATCAACTGACAAAGCACAAACTTCATGCTGTCATTTTTAGATCGCTAACCTTTTCCTTTCTTTCACATACTGAATTATTTCACAATGGATCATACTGCTCCATGTGAAAAGACTAGGGATTAGCCACATAGCAAGAACTGCACTTTTCAGTTTAAGCCTCTAAGAATCAAATTACTAACAGTCAATTAGGATGCACTCATAGCTGCCATACAAGTGAACAGACACCCAGTAGACAATCAAGTTAATTCTACATACATACCAAAAGGTGAAGCTTTAAAAAAAAAAAAACAACCAAAACCAACCAACCCAAAACCTAAACTACACAAGTACAGCCTCAAACCTGGTAGATTCCAAGAAGTGGATCTCTGTCCAGAAAGTTTCTTCAAAACGGCACACAAAAACTGTGCCACCATCAACCACGCTTGAGATAAGATATTAATCACTTATACCCGGAGATTTCCTTATTTACCACTACAGCACCATTCCACATAAAGTTTTATAGCAATGGTGATGTAGTACTTCTGCAGGACAAACAAGAATCCTCCAAGTCAGAAGCAGTCAGTAATAAAACCCCAGACAAGTTCACATGTCAGGGTAACCTGGCACATAAGCCTCAGCACATTTACTCTTATAAATGTAATAATCAATAATTTAGGTACTAACTATTCCGAGACCAATACAGGCAGTCTGTAGATCAGACTACAACAGAACATACTGAAAAACACAAGAGAGGTATGACAGTTAAGAGAAGTATTTCTTTTAAACAGCAGAAAGTCAGGAAAACATCTGGACTTCTTTTGCACCGCATTAACGTATCTTCTGTTTCTGAATATAAAAATACATCTAGAGAGTCAATCCAGAACTGCATACACAATTACATTTTCCCCCTTGCTGCTTTAAAATCAGTACAAAATAATATAAGTTACAGGAATGATTGTTGCAAATTTGTAAATGTCAGCTATTACAAAATCATTATGTGAGAACACCAACTGTAAATTATTTACAGGTGAGGTAATACAATTTCCAGAGTAAAGAATTACGATTTAGCAGAAGTGTAAAAATAATGTACTCACCAAAACATTACAAAATCTGGTATCATTATCAGCTACACAGTAGATCATGATTAGTTTTGTAGTTGATATACAACATATTCTTAAGAAAAGTGCCAAAATACTGCTACATAAGAACCTTTTTTTCCAAAATCAGTCAGCAAAAAAACCTGCAGATTCTATGTTAAGTAATACCAAAAGAAAACAGGAAAAAAGGGATGCCAATTGTAGAAATATGTCTTATTAAATGCCTTTGAAAAATCCGTAAATTCACTTTCATGCTTCAAGGTCTGACATGAGAGAGACTTATTTAAAAAAAAAAAAATCAATAGAAATATCAACATACATACTTTTTTTAGAGTATCTTAGGCCATTTTAAAAGTATACATTCCTCTTAAGCCGTGAAACACATGGAGGTTGAAAACATTCTAAAAATGGCTGAACTGCCAAGGGTTGTTGCGATCAGTGGCACAAAGTCTTGCTGGATGCCAGTCACTACGGACGTACCCCAGGGGTCTGTACTGGGGTCCATGCTGTTTAACATTTTCATCAATAACACGGGTGACGGGTCAGAGTACACTCTCAGCGAGCCATTCGGAGGGACCTTGGCAGGCTGGAGAAATGGGCAAACAGGAATCTCAAAGTTCAGCAAAGGAAAGTGCAAAGTCCTACACCTGGGGAGGAATAACCTCATGCACCAGTACAGGCTGGGGGGCTGACCAGCTGCAAAGCAGCCTTGCAGAGAACGATACCAAGCTGACCATGAGCCACCGATGTACCCTTGCGGCAAAGCAGCCCAGCAGCCTCCTGGTCTGCATTAGGAACAGCACTGCCAGCAAGTTGAGGGAGGTGATTGTTCCCCTCTGCTCAGCCCTGGTGAGACAAAACTCAAGTTCTGGGTCCAGTTTTGGGCTCCCCAGTTCAATACAGACACGGGCATACAAGAGCGAGTCCAGTGAAGGGCCACAAAGGTGATAATGTGATTGGAGCATCTGACAGTCAAGGAGAGGCTGAGAGAACTGGGATTGTCTAGCCTGGAGAAGAGAAGGCTTAGGGGTGATCTTACCAATGTGTGTAAATGCCTGGTAGGGCATAAAAAGAGTCAGACTCTTCTCAGTAGCATCCAGTGACTGGACAAGAGGCAATGGGCACAGATGGAAATATAGGAAACTCCATTTAAACATAAGAATGGACTTTCGTAGTGTGAGGGAGATCAAAACACTAGAACAGGTTGCCCAGAGATCTTCTGGAGTCTCCATCTTTGGAGATGCTCAAACACCCAGCTTGTCACAGTCCTGAGCAACCTGCTCTAGCTAACCCTCCTCCGAGCAGGGGGGTTGGACTAGATGATCTCCAGGAGCCCCTCCAACCTCAATCATTCTGTGATTCTATGAAAAGGACAATGTCTTTTGTAGCCCAGGCATTGCATCAACTGAGTCACAAAGCAAACTATAAAATGTAAATGGAATATATTTTCTCTTTAAGTTATTGCATACAATGTTAATTTTGCTGCCTGCGTTTTGCCGATCTCATTTTTTCAAATCTCGACTCCATTTCTTCCAGGACCTTTGGCGTGTATCGCACAACTAATTTAACCTTTCCTTGAGCTGCCTTCAGCAGTTCTACTGCTTTTTCATGATGTTCACCTTCGACACTCTGCAAAGCATAAACCATTAAGTACAATATTAGTAAAGACACACACTGAAAACAGATTTTTTCCATTTTTTGTACAACTTCCATATAATCAAATATTGAAGTATTCTAGTTTGAAGACTGCACATGGACAGCGTCACCCAAGTTCAGGATTTATTCTTCAGCAAATCAATAAGAGGTGATGATGAATACACTAATGAGTATTAACAAAAGAGTAGCGTGAAACTTTTGGTTAGATTTATGCTGATCAATTAAATTCTGTATTTACATACAGTCAGTGAAATAAGGATAACATTAGGCAATTATGAAATTACACTTAAAAATCAACAACTTCAGGATGACACTTATTTAAAATTCAATTTAAATTTAAAAACACTTAAAAATCAACAACTTCAGGATGACGCTTATTTAAAATTCAGGCTTGTTTATCTTCTTTTGGCATGCATTTTATATTCAGTAGTCACCCTCAATTTGCCTAGTAAGTTGCCACAGACAACTGCAAGATAGCTGCCTTCCTGATGTTATCCTGTGTTACGACAAGGCATAACAGTGCATACTGGGCACCTGCAATAGAGCAGCCAACATGCAGTGTGTTGCTTATCTTAGTGCTCCACATGTCTCTCAGTAAATGCAAGGTATTCAAGTTAATTTCCTCTAAACTGATTAAGAACAGCCTAACCCAACTCAGCAAGAACAGAATAAAAATACTTTCCTAAAACAACTCTCAGAATTTATTAGGGTTATATTAGATTCATCTAATTACAAATTTAAGCAACAATTCTCAACAACTGCATCCAAATATACATTCCTGGACAGCATACATTTTATCAGCAAAACTTATTTCTCCCAAACTTATTAAACACAATGATGGGACTACCCCAAGCCTACCTCCCACTGGTGCTATTAGAAGCTAGAAGGCAGGTGATGTACCTGTTGATTGGAGGGTTTCCCCGTTACTATAAAGTTACTTACAGAAAGAAAGACAACAGTTAAAAAAACCCAAGTTATTTCTCTTCTATCAGACTTAGACAACACATACATTTGAATGTTTTCATTTTTGTTATTCAAGTGGATGTGTAGGCTGTTCTGTTTAAAACTGGTAATAAAAGGTTTGTAAAGTTCTATGTTTAATTATATCAAAACACCTAGAATTCTGAAGTACACTCAAAATCTCCCAGCTGAAAAAAAAGAAACTTGTTTTAAGGCACATCCACTGCAGTCTTGGCAGTGGCAATTTTTTTTTAAAGTATTAAATTAGAAATTACAATTACAAGAAAATGCCTGTCATATGTATTAAGATGACAGGATTCCATCTGTAAACATCAGAAGAAGATTCTTCTTCTGAGACCACATTAGCATTCTCAACAGTATTTTATGCACTCACTCACTGTATTCTTACAATGGCTATATATATTTACACATGTGCACGCACACACACGCAGTCATTGTTAGCTGTACCAAGTGTCTGATGATCAGGTTCACTTTGGGGTGGAGTGGTGGTTTTGTTTTCTTTAAGAGGGTCTGTGGGTGAGGAAGGCCTCATCTGAAGACAGTTCTACACCTGTCCCTCAACGCTTCAAAATAACAGGAAGACTAGGCCAAGGACAGTCGCATCACTACAGCCATGTTTTCTCTTACATCTCCTGAAAAGGACAATTGGACTCCCAGGTAATAGTCAGGAGCCGAGCATGTCAGGGATCTGTGCTAGCAGGGACTTCCCAGAGTACAGACACCCAGTAAGTCTCTATCCCTTTCACGTGTCAAAACAACCCACTCAGGTTAAAGAGCACAGGATTTAGTTTGACCCTCAGTCTTAAAATAAAATTGGGTTTCCAGATGTAATTATGAGAACATGAATTTTAAGCTAGCATACAGCTTCTCTGCAAATAAAAGCAAGAGTTTGAGAGATATTTACATGCATTTGACTAGCAGCTGCCTTAAGACAAAGCCTGTCCATAGCCTCCTCTTTCCATAGCCTCCTCTTTCCAGTCACCCTGTGTTTTGCTTTTTGTATTGTAATCTTCAGAAGAGGATACTTATTAAAAATAAATATCCACATCAGCACTTTAGACATATACCCCTTAAAATATGCTAGAAAGTCTCAGTTTTTGAAGCTCAGTACACTTAAGTGGAAGGAAAAAAAATACTACACAACTGAAGGTAACACCACCTTGTAGTTCCATCTTACTACAGCTTTCATTATGCAGTAGCATTTTCATTGGGGTAATGAGAATCTGGTCAGTCTAACGCAACATAGCATAATTTACTACTTACCTCAGAAGGTGCAGAAAACTATATTAATTAAAATCTGCATCATGCAACTTGGATGAAAGAGGAAGCCATAATGGCAGTTTAATACTATTTCACAAAACAGTACTTTGGTTAGATTTATACAACCCCTCAGAATCTGAAATACGACATAAATAGCACAGTTCCCAGCTGAGACAGATAACCAAAGTATAATCCTAGAACTCCCAATGCACACAACTCTACAGAAACGGAAGCAAGTTGTTCTTGCAAGGACAAAAAGAAACTATTTTGCCAAGATTAAAAGACGACATCGAGCTTGTGCCATGTATATTCTTTGTATGCCCCCACGTGGAAACAAGTAGTTACTGCTACATAAAGTGAAAACCAATTCCTACCACTCCGTTTACAGAAAGCAGCTGGTCTCCACGTTTCAGGCCTCCATGTCTATCAGCTATACCGCCAGGGATAATTCGAGAGATATAGATTGGAGAATTTTGTTCTTTGCCTCCCATAATGTTGAATCCAAGACCTTCTTCGGTTTTGGGTAGTTCAACCACTCTGGGATGGGAATGACCTTCACTAGCAGCAAATGCAGCTACCGTGGCCTGTAAGAAACAAGATTTTCCTATTTATAAGAAATTAAACATAGAACCCTTAGCTAGACACAGTGAGCAGGCTGAAAAAGTATTTTTATCTCAAAGTACTTAAATATTAAGACAAATGAAATTAATTCCCTAGATACCGACATTAGCATGAAAAATTTAGAACTCCAAGAATAAAATGGAAAGGGAAGAAACTTAAAAAGAACAAGTCTTTTGTTATACCTTTTAATAACCAGTTAAGCTTACCTGTTTTATCAGACATCTAGATAATATCCTTCTGAATTTTAAATAATCTTCTTCTGATTCTAAAGTAACAAACTACTGTATTTTACACAAGTTTGTTTTTACAAACAGTTGTAAACAGTTTAGTTTGGCTTTTACCTTTGCTGTTGCATTAGCTCTAACTTCTGGGCTACTGCTGATATCCACAGTTTCGTATACATGTTCATACACCTTTAGAGATAAAACAGTTTAAGTATGGGGAAGACAGATATTTTTCTGCTTAGACAGCGTAACAAAGTATCAGTTACAACTTAAAAATACATACATTAAAAAGTACACACCTCTAATAAGTTACTCCCTGATTCACTACAAGGTGTCAAGTGACAATCTACCATACTATGAAGAAACAACTCTCTCAGCATCTTTATTGCTCAGTTAATCCGTGCATATCTAGGTCTCAACCTAAATCTTCCCTCCTTCCACAGCATTCAGACCTCACCATTAATTTAGAAGTGCTTATGGCTAGTCTAATACACCAGACTGGAGACATGGACATGCTCTTGTTTGATTCAAGCTGGAACTCTTCAGTAAGGATGCATGCAAAACCACTTAAGGACAGCTCTTCAAAGCTCTCCCAACAACCCAGCCCTCCCCCTAAAACCCCGTATTTTCCTTCAACTGATGCAACTGACTGAATACCTTAAGAAAAAAAGGGTATCAAAACCACAGAGGCAGTAAGAATACTAATGCTAAGGAGGTGCTTACACCGAGAGCTAATCCCCATCCTCACATCTACCTGCCAATCATTCAGACTTGCTAAGCAATAAACATACTGTCCTCGATAGGATGAAAACAGTAAGATGACACCTGTGTCTACAAACAGATCTGTTAAATCATTCCAGGTTTTGTCATCAGTGGTAGCACCAACAGCAAAAGCAAGGCGTATTCAATCACTTAAAAATCTCCAAGAGAGTATCTGGAATGAAGATGAGGTGGTGCAAGGCTCCACCTCAAGGTGATGTGGATTTAGCTTGGAAGAAACAGAGACAATTCGTACTTTGTCCATTCTGACATTCCAAGAGGATAACAGCCTGCTAGCTGCCAGTAAGGACAGGCTCTCAAGATAACCTCTAAAATGTTATTTGCTCCTGAGCCATTATTTAATACACCTATGGTATCCCAAATTATCTTCTTCTGAACCTTTAAAAATAAGTCTTGTTCTGTTAAGCTCCATAAGTCAAATTCAGCTTTTAGAAAAAACAAAATCAGATTATTGCACTGAACACAAAGGAAAAAGTATAACATACTGTTATTTAACTCAAGATAACTGCTTCCATCAAGTTAACTTACCTCCCTTACAGCATTACAGAATTCACTTTGAAGGACCCTTTGCAAAGCCTGTAGCTTTTGTGGTGGCACTTCTCCACTTCTCTGTAATTTTTCCAGCAACTCAATTGCTCTGCAGATGTCTACAGAAAACGAAAGTACTAGTAATGAGGAATGCCTGAGGAAATTCAAGGGTTTTTTTTTTTGGTTTGGTTTTTGTTTTAAATTAAGTTAATGGAGCAGTCTGTGTGTGTACTTGTATACACCTTAAAACTACATATTAGTTTCATTTCTCCCATAAAACTATGTATCTACAAAATGTTAAAAAAAACCACCATATTTTCCCACTATTTTTAAGTCAACCACAGCAATCCAACCCTGTAACATATCTGGAGGTATCACTGCCATATGTATATTTTAAAGACAATTTGATTTTTTCTTGAAGATTAAATCAGGCTGAAATATTTCATTGATATATACACTATCAACATTTCATATGTATAACTTCATAATTTATCTACTGCACAGATAACATTTTGTTAAAACCAGCTAGAATATTGATAAATAAGCTAACATTCCTTTTATATTAAAAAAAATTAGTTCAACAAGAGTACGCTCGATGCTTTCCCTACAACAGGGCTGAGAACTATCTGGCCTATTTTTTTTTTCCCCCAAAGTGCTCAGAAAAACAACCAAACTCCTTTTGATATTCTCAGCTGAGAGAGAATATCTCTGTAGTTTAGAATCCTCAATCCCAAACCCCTTTGTTCCAGTTCCTAGAAATTTGTTCCTAAGAACTCACATTGTCCATATTCTCATAAATGCAGATGCTGCTTTGTGAAACTGAACTCCCTGTGAAGGATTTGATTCCAGACCAGTATGACTCAAGATGGGTATCAAACACTATGTGACATGCTCCTGGCAGCTCTACAAGAGTAGAATACATTAATATCACTCACTTATATTTCCAAAGTGTTACATTAGTGATGGAATGCGTTGATGATAACTTCCTTCTCCAAGTGGTAGAGGAGCCAACAAGGAGAGGTGCTATGCTGGACCTTGTTCTCACCAACAAGGAGGGGCTGGTGGGGAATGTGAAGCTCAAGGGCAGCCTGGGCTGCAGCAACCACGAAATGGTGGAGTTCAAGATCCTTAGGGCACTGAGGAGGGCGCACAGC